GAGAGAGAGAGAGAGAGAGAGAGAGAGAGAGAGACGTGTTAGACCAGAACGATACAACTCACAAGCAATTGTCACACCATATCGTTCTGCTGTAAGATTTATAGCGGTTCCCAAGAACTGTGCGACGTTGTAGGGGTGTTATAAGACGTCTTCCTACACAGTCTATACACAATGTGTCGACCAAAAGGTGACTCGGGTTTGTTCGACGAGGTTGACATTGTCTCCCAGACCAAACTGCGCAGCTTTTGTTTCGCAAGCGTTGTGTCTGCAATACGCTTTTTTTTAATTACCTCTCAGGCACCGCAAGTGACTGTGTGCAAAAAAAAAAAAAAAAGTGCGCTGCAAGAGGCAAGCGCCGAAGGCGCGACTATTCATGAGAATCGAATCATTGATGTGTGTTTGTGTGTGTTTTTTTTTTTTTTTAAAGGTTCAAAACAAGCAACAGATGAACCCCTAGAACAAAGGATAACCTGTGGGAACCGCTACGAAATCATGCACCCCAACGAGAAGTATTGAAAATTGTGATTCTCACCCCCCCCCCCCCCCCATCCCTCTTTCACCCCCCGCCCACTTCTGGACAACATGTTACTTGGTAACCGTTTTGTAGTGACAGCTATAGCTGTGCCATGTGGTTTCACAGATTTTATTTCTTAAACATGACCTTGGCTCTCAGGTCGACCCAGCCTTAAATGGGTACCTTTAAATGGGCCGTCTTCACTACCCAGGACTGCACCTGCTACCCATTAAAGTCTGGGTCGACCTGGCTTCTATAGGATCCACAGCCATTCAGCCAAACAACTAACCGATTGGTCAGTCTACCCAACGTGGCTTAGGCGTTGCGAACGAGCTTCGTAATGCTAGAGTGCCGTGTTCGATCCCAGCTTCAGGTCTTGCGCCTTGCGTTGGTTTCTATAGTAGTATCAAGAAGCCGACCGTCCAGATTCAATGTAAAACTACTGGACGTTAATTTGTCTAGAAAAACCACAACAGCCTAACAATGCTGCGGTTGGTTCTGCAACGTCCTGTAAAGGATACGCAACTAACTTTTATCTGCAATTGCTTCTAAAAGAGCGGCTCTCGATATTACTGTCTAAATCAACAAAGGGACCCCCCCCCCCCCACCCTTCCCTTTTTTTCCCCTAATTTTTCGACACCGTGGGTTTGACACCCTGAGATTACAAAATCTCAATCCGAATGGCAGACCACCGAGATCATTGCCAGATACCCTGTTTAACTCGAAAAAAAGTTATATTAATTAGGGGACTCGTATCCAGTTATTCAACAAATTAACTAACGAGCCAGTTTACTAACCAACAGGTGAATCAGCTCGTTGAGAAAACAATCAGAAGAAACAGTTCAGTGAGGTTGTGGTGAACCTTTTATAAACACCCATTGGGTCGCTGAGGTGCTCAATTTGTTATTGTTTACAGTTAACTATTTAAACGAAAACAATGGACAGGAAAGTAGCTCAATAACAGTTAAAAATTAATATGCAGAGGAAGAAAAAGAAGGAAGAGAGGGAATGGAAGAAAGGTGAGAAACATGAGGAGAAGGGAACAGAAGAAGAAGAAGAAAAAGAAGAAGAAGAAGAAGAAGAAGAAGAAGAAGAAGAAGAGAAGAAGAAGAAGAAGAAGAAGAAGAAGAAGAAGAAGAAGAAGAAGAAGAAGAAGAAGAAGAAGAAGAAGAAGAAGAAGAAGAAGAAGAAGAAGAAGAAGAAGAAGAAGAAGAAAAGAAGAAGAAGAAGAAGAAAAAGAACAAGATTATAATGATGATAATAAATATTAATGAGAAGCAAAGGAAGAGAAGGAGGAGGGAAAGATGAGGAGAAAGAAAAAGAAAAGAAGAAATTTGAGGATGCAGAGGGGGACGACAACAAGGAGGAGACAGGAGGAGAAGAAAAAGAATAAAGTAGAAGGAGGAATGTAAAGAACAATGTAAATACAGTGTTAAATAATAAAACAATCCATCGAACAATAATAATGATAATAATATGTAAATGTGATAAGCTCCACGGTATAATATTTCAAAATGTTAAACATCGACCTCAAAATAGAAAGACCTTATCATCAGAGCTGATATGTATATCATTAATTCCTAAAATTGTGATGGCGAAATGAATGGATGTCAGTGAGAGCACCTTGATTTCATCACATTAGCAATAACGAGGCACTTATCTTGTCAAAGCCACTAAAGGACAATATAATTCTGTCACTGAACTAGGCTTAATAAAGTTTACCTAGTCGTAGACTCGCTGCTGTTCTAAAAGGAATGCCTAACCAAGACCCCCCCCCTCCCCCCCCCCCCCCCCAAAAAAAATCATAATTACGTCAGTAGCATAGCAGGCATACGATGCTAGGTTGACACTAAAGTGGAGCGGTGTCGGTGCTCGGTGGATAATCTTCTTCTTCTTCTTCTTTTTCTTCTTCTTCTTCTTCTTCTTCTTGTTCTTCTTCTTCTTCTTCTTCTTCTTCTTCTTCTTCTTCTTCTTCTTCTTCTTTTT